AACCTTTAATGGCAACTTCACCGTGACGTTGCTATGTCCAACTCTACAGCTCGACTTTTTTCTTTTATTTATTTATTTATTTATTTTATTTGAAGGATTAGTGTTTTGCTGTTAATTCAAGGAGATGAACAATTTTTGTTGGGGTAGAGGCAGTTTTGCAGAGTATATTATGGACTATGGAAAGCAGGATTCAGGAATATAGGGAAGGGAGAGAGGTTAGGGAAGAAGGTTATTATATTAAAAGCAAACCAATCTTAAAGTGACATATCATGTTTTTAACCGGTTTAATAGGTTATCCAAACAAGGAGACTAATGTGAGAAGGGTTAGTTAATAGTTAGGATTATCTTGAGTTAAAGTGTTGTTGGGATTAAAATGAGAAGGTGGTTAATAGTTGGGATTATTTATGTTAATTTTTCCTAAAATAAGCTACTCCTTAGCAAATTATGATGCCATTTCTCTGTAAAAATTAGCCAACGAACTATTCAATATTACATTCTTCTGTAAAAGTTAGGCAACAAGTGGTGTATTTTTTACTTTTATTAAAAAAAATCCTCGTAGGATGTTAGCTAAAATAAATTGAGAGAGATTTAGGAAAATGTGGTAAATCTTTTAATAGAGGAAATAATGAAAAATTTATTAATTTTCCAAATGATGTGTTAGACTTACCCTTTTTAAGCTTGTAGATATTTCTCATTATCAGATTTTCATTAGGAATCTGTTTTCTTAATGTGTGCCCATGGACACACATAAAAAATTGGTTTTCAAATATTAAACCTTTATAATGTTTACAAATATATAGTTAATGGTATTAATGGTCAAAATTGTGCTTTGTGTATAGGAAATCGTTTTCAGTTAAAATGATGCAACTTGCAAGTAATTTGGGATAGAAATAATAGTTATTCCCAATCCAATTTTAATTTTTCAAAATCACTATAGATATTGTAGGTAAGTTGAAAAACACTATCAAGTCAGAATCCCTTACAAGTCAATCTAGTTTGAGTTAGGAGACTAGATACTTTAGAGATGGGGGAAGAGTGAGAGATCTCTTCCCTCAAAGCACCTTAACAGAGATTGAATCCCTAATCTTGAAGTTAAAAGGTACACTCTTTTCCCCTAGGTCCAACTTAGCTCGTGAATGGAGTACGTAACTCCATACATTGAGTGATTTTCCTCAATATAGTTGAATCAAAAATTAATTCCCATTATACATCGGTTTAAAAATAAATTCCCAAGGTACCATCCAAGTAGGATCGATGCTTGGTTCAGCTTAAAACCGCTACGGGTTCGTTTGGCATCGCTGTGGTTTTCTGTTTTTTGGTTTTTTGTTTTTCAAAAACATATGATATATATCATATAATGAATCAAAAAATAGTCCAACTTATCAAAATCATGATAATTTTGAAAACTGACAATAGAAAAGCGGAAACACCTTTTTCTTGTTTTCTGTTTTTGGTTTTAAAAAAACAAACAAAAAACTGAAAGCAAAAAACAATGCCAAACAAGCCCGTCGTTAACGGTTTTATTAAAAAACCGCTAACGATAGTATCGTTTTTTTTATTTTAAAAAAAATTACAATGAGACCCGTTGCACAGAAATCAGATGTCTTTGTTCTTATTATTATAAAAGGATACCTACAAGGGTTTGTGTTTATTTTGTTTTAAAGGAATATAAACCTGTTATTTTAAAAACATGGTCTCTTTTTGCACATATAAAGTGTTCAGTGCACTTAAGAAAAGAAAGAGACCGATTATTAATAAAATGTGGTCTCTTTTAAAAACCGCTAATACGATTAACGCTTTTAAAACAAAAACCGCTGTTGTTATTAACGGTTTTACTGTGAACCAAAATTAAACCCTACACCAATTCTATATGAACGGTACCTAAGGAATTTATTTTAAAATCTATGTATAAATAAAGGGAATTTGTTTTCGTTTTTACATTGTTGTGGGAAATCATTGGATGACGGTAGTTATCGGACTAAAAATTGTAGTGGTAGTACCGGTAAGAATAAGGAATGGAAAGAAGCAACATCGAATCCAAGCATGTTGTCCTTAGTACAATAATAAAGATATTTGGGACCCACTATGATCTACTTTCTGTTATCAGACCATTCAAACACGATTATCAATAACGCAACACCTCCTTCCTTCCTCCAGCTGTATCTTCAATTTATGATTCTTTCTTTATAAAACCAAACCTAAACACTAGTAAAGTTTCCGACACCACCGAGATTAGTACAGTGTTTGTTTTAATATTTTACATTTTATAATGTTTGTTAAATTATGCCAATTAAACTTTTCCAAAGGATTGGATTGGGAGTTGAATAGTAGTTGATTCCTCTACTTACATTCCCTCAAACAAGTGAATACAAATTAATGCTTTTGTTCTATGGAATATATAGTATCTCTTCGTATTTAAATTAGTTAAACGTTTCTCTTATCCATGTATGTTAATGTAAAACTTTGAGTGATAATATCTTTAACTATTAATAAGCAAAATTATAACAATTGAATATTAAAAAATTATTTATTGAAACGGTTTTAATAAGTACTCACAAGACTATATTTATTCTTATGTAGTATGAACTACAAACAATAGTAAAAGTGAATTAGATGAATAGTGCAAAAAGTCAAAAATTTCACTTATTTATATACGAATGGAGTATGTAATTCATCTGTTTTAAACTAGCTGATACGTTTTGACTTTTAACATTGGTTTTTTTTTTTTTAATTTTTTTTAATTATATATATATATATATATATATATATATATATATATATATATATATATATATATATATATATATATATATACACGAAAGCATTTTAATTTATACGTTTTTAAATCAGTTAATACATGTTGACTTTTAACATTGTTTTTGTGATACAATCCATATGTATATTCTAAAAATATAGTTATATTATATTTTGTTAGATTCCCTTCAATCCATAATACGAGTATTAAAATTTTAACTTCCTACATACGGAGTATGATATTTAATTATTGATAATTAAAGATATCTATCCGTGCTATATATATATTAAAAAGCGTTTCGAAATAAGTCCACACGTCACAAGATACTCACCCGGCTTCCTTTGTGGTTTAATCTCAATGTTAAAGAATTTTAGAAGGTTAACCGTTTAACTATGTCATATGATGTGTCAATAAATAGATGACACGTAACAAATCCATAGAAGTAGAGTTGAATCGTAAATTTATGCGCAATTATTGTTATACATGTAATAACGAATTCGAGGCGTCGTCCGGGTCCAACAACTAATAAGATAACGCGTCTACTAATTTGAATTTCTACGTGCTTTGTACATGAGTAATTAAGAAAAATATGTGATTAGCTATACAATTTTATCATACTATTGTAAATGTATCGTCAAAGTTTGTTAACTTCACTCTAAAGACAACATATATATTCAGATTCTAAAGATTACAACATAGTAAAATACGTTATTTGCAGGTACTCTTTTCAACCCTTTTCATTTATTCTCTCTATGGAGAAAAATTACATTTAAAATGAAAATTATATATGCGGTACAATGATATTGAAACGGAGAAAATACGATAATTTCGGTGGCAGCATAAAATAATGATATTCATTAAGGTGGCAACAAACAATAGCACCTTACACTAAAAAAGAAACCAACAAAAAACATGTAGCATTATTCCAGCTCATCAACTTCAACAAGGCTTAAACAGTCTCATGCAGCAATAATCATATCCCACTCAAATAATGCCTTTTGTCCATTTTACTAATTACAATATAATCTCTGCTTTGCTTTGACTACCCCACTTAAGAAAATGACGGCTTTGCCCTTCTCTCTTTCTCTCTCCTCACCACCAATAGTACAACATAGTCCCATAGATAGTGGCATCGTGTTTATGGAATTAAGTGGATGGACCATTATACATTTATACCGGTAGATAAATGAGAATCACAGAATTCTCATTAGATTTTTATTTTTTTACACTCTAAGCAAATATTTTAAAAAGGGAATCGTTAAAAAGTTGGAAAAAATACGTGTTTTTTTTTTTTTTTATTTATTTTTTCGGGTGGAAAAAAAAGATGTGATTTTTAGGTTAAACCTTTTTATAGGTATAACATAATTTATATCAACATGACCTAAATTTATTGCGAAAGTTTTTTACTTGATATAAATACAAATCAATTTCGACTTGATTTGGTTGGATACATTTGTCATTTTGCTCATATGCAATTGTTCTTGTAAGAGGAAATATAATTATGTCTAATTTGATGAAGAATCCAAAGCTAAACACAAACATATTCCTTATGTTTTGCATGCTATTTTTAATTCACTACTTTTGACTATTAGTTTTATAACTACATTCCATATACATATATATATATACATACATATATATATATACATACATACATATATATATATATATTAAAAAAATTGTCAATATGCTATGCTCTATACGTTGCTGATTGACTAATCTCAATATCAGTTTCAAAATATTACAATTTGATAACTTTTGCTAAATAGAATATAATAAATGTTAATAGTTGTACTATAAATAAAAAATGTTAATGATTAAAAATATGCACTAATAAATGTAAATATTTTTAGATATATTTTTATAAAAAAAAATATAGAAAAATGTCATTATAATTAAATAAAGTATATTGTTGGATTAGACCAGATCTCAACTCTCATGGTTTTCTTGATCGGTATTTGCGGGCTAAACACTTGAGAGTAGAGGGAAGAGGTAAGAGAATCTCTACCCCAAACACCCTCATTTGATAAGATTCAAACCCTAGACCTCAAGACTCTGAGGTAAAAAAAACTTACCAACTAAACCAACACTTTGTTGATGTATTACTTGATATACTACCTCTGTTTCATATTTTTTGCAACTCAGGGTATTATTTGTGAGATATAAAATATTCCAAAGTTGCAAAAAATATGAAAATGAGGTAGTAATTGGTAAATGGTACTAATAGTTAATTAATTAAACATAATTAAATTACAAATATTTTAATAATAAAATACTGTAATAATAAAAAAAAAAACAAAACAAAAATACAGTTTTACATTAACTCAAAGCGTTGAAACTTTCTCTCTCTAGATCCGCCTAAGCGGTCCATATCATCCACCATGATTGCTACTATCCAAGCCTCACACCCCACCTCTTCCCTCCTCCTTCTTCTTTGCAGCTCACTATGAGCTTTCTCTCTCTAAAATCATGCAAATTCACTTGGGTTTTTTCCTTCATTCAAGTCAGCCATGAAAGTTCACTGTAAAATGAAGAAACTTGCTTTCATTTTTACACTCTTTTTCTCTCTTAACACAGTTATTTACAGTGTTACAGATCCTGGAGATCTTGCAGTTCTTAATGAATTCAGAAAAAACCTGGAAAATTCTGAGCTTTTGAAATGGCCTAGTCATGGAGATAATGACCCATGTGGAAATAAGTGGGAATTTGTGTTTTGTTCAGATGGAAGAGTTACTCAAATTCAAGCTAAGAATTTAGGGTTGAAGGGTACTTTGCCTCTAGATTTCAATAAATTGGAAATGCTTTCCAATTTGGGGCTTCAGAACAATGAATTAACTGGTATGATACCTTCTTTTAATGGGTTAAAAGAGTTGAAATTTGCATATTTAGATTTTAATAATTTTACTTCAATTCCTGCTGATTTCTTTGATGGGTTAGTTAGTTTACAAGTAATGGCATTAGATCATAACCCAAATTTGAATGGTAGTAATGGCTGGTCTTTACCTGTTGGGTTGCAAGATTCAGCTCAGTTGGCTACTTTGTCATTGGTGTCTAGTAATTTAGTTGGTCCATTGCCTGATTACTTAGGTAGTTTGGGGTCATTGACCGAGCTTCGATTGTCGATGAATCGAATCTCGGGTGGGATTCCATCGAGTTTTAATGGGTCGAATTTGCAGACATTGTGGTTGAATGGACAGGATGGTGGTGGGATGACTGGTACTCTTGATATTGTTGTGACAATGGAGTCATTAAGTACTGTTTGGCTTCATGGGAATCAGTTTAGTGGGGTGATTCCTTCCAATATTGGGAGGTTAGCTAGTTTGAAGAAACTTAATCTTAACTCGAATCAACTTGTTGGGTTGATTCCGGCTGGTTTGGCTGACATGGAATTGGATCAATTGGATCTAAATAATAACCATTTCATGGGTCCAATTCCGGAGTTTAAGACTAAGAATGTTACGTATGATTCGAATAACTTTTGTCAAAAGACTCAAGGAGCTCTTTGTGCTCCGGAAGTTATGGCACTTATTGAATTCTTGGGTGGGTTAGAGTATCCATCAATCCTTAGTACTTCATGGTCAACTAATAACCCGTGTGTTGGATGGTTGGGAGTGATTTGCAATGACAATAAACAGGTTAGTGTCATTAATTTGCCTAATCGTGGCCTTAATGGTACACTAAGTCCCTCGCTTGGGAAGCTCAAATCCCTTGAAAAAATCATACTTGATAATAACAATATCACTGGTCAAGTTCCCTCGAACTGGACAGCTTTGAAGTCCCTCACAACAGTAGATTTGAGTAAAAACAAGCTTTCCCCTCCATGGCCAAAATTTAGCAAAAATGTCAAAATTGTTATTGATGGTAATTCTCGACTTATTTTGCCCCCTCAATCACAACCTTCGGCACCTAATGGTCAATCCTCACCCTCCAAGGGCTCTGGCTCTTCCCCTGACTCTTCCCATGGCTCTTCTCAGGCATCCGAAACTAGAAATCCTCCAAGATTCAATATGGTTGCAATCATAGCTCCTGTTGCAGCTTTTTCTGCCCTTTTGTTAATGGTAGTTCCTTTGTCTATTTATTTATGTAAGAGGAAGAAACATGTCCACCAAGCCCCGGAGTCATTTGTGATTCACCCAAGAGACCCTTCAGATACAGATAATACCGTTAAAGTAGTTGTTGCTAATAACATCGCTGGCAATACATCCATTGGAAGCGGTTCTGGTAGTATGAATAGCAGCGGGATGGGTGAGTCCCATGTCATTGAAGCTGGAAATTTGGTCATATCAGTTCAAGTTCTCCGAAATGTGACCAAAAATTTTGCCCCTGAGAATGAACTAGGCCGTGGTGGTTTTGGAGTTGTTTATCAGGGGGAATTGGAGGATGGAACTAAAATAGCTGTGAAAAGAATGGAAGCAGCTGTAATTAACAACAAAGCACTGGATGAATTCCAATCTGAAATTGCAGTCTTGTCTAAAGTCCGTCATCGACATTTGGTATCTCTTTTGGGATATTCAGTTGAAGGCAATGAGAGAATTTTGGTGTATGAGTATATGCCTCAAGGAGCTCTTAGCAGGCATCTCTTCCATTGGAAAACTTACAATCTGGAGCCTCTTTCGTGGAAAAGGAGGTTAAATATTGCTTTGGATGTTGCAAGAGGGATGGAATATCTTCATAGCTTGGCGCACCAGAGTTTCATACATAGAGACCTCAAACCTTCCAATATATTGCTCTGTGATGACTTCAGAGCAAAAGTTGCAGATTTTGGACTGGTAAAACTTGCTCCTGATCAGGGGCAACAATCAGTGGTCACCAGGCTGGCTGGAACATTTGGATACTTGGCACCCGAATATGCTGGTAAGCTATCTTTGTTCTACTTATTTTTGTAAAGCTTATTGGATTAAAAGTTAAAATATCTGCTTTTTAAATTTTAACACACAACATTCTTCCAAAAAGTTCATTAATTTATTTTTTAAGTTGTCGTCTTCGAAGAATTGTGAATTACTGACCTGCCTAATTAAACAGATACTGGATTGCTCAGATAAGATGGAGGAATATATATCTGTTGCTTTATACTTTAAAAATTAACTAGGAAAAAAAAGGCATAGTAAAGTGGCTATACATATGCATTGTAAGTTATGGATAGATATTGATTTCATTATCTAATGGAATTTCCTCCTTACCTCTTGAAAAAGGCATAATAGAGAATATAAGAAACAAAATATGATATTTTGGCTTTCTTCACAGCACAATAGAATAGATGTCATACATGGAGTACTCATACATGGTCCTCAGTGCTTTTCACATCTTTCATTGTCATTGGGTTGTCCCTTTCAAGCTGGTTTTTATAGATGAAGTCCTGCAGTATCCCGCGATAAAATAGTAGATTAGTACGTGTTTACCTTTAAAGTCTAATGCTGAAGCATTAGTTAACCCTATGTTTATCTGCTTCAGTCACAGGAAAAATCACGACGAAAACTGATGTTTTCAGCTTCGGTGTTGTGTTAATGGAGTTATTAATGGGAGTGATGGCACTTGATGACAAGAGGCCTGAGGAACAGCAGTACTTAGCAGCATGGTTCTGGCGGATTAAATCAGACAGAGAAAAGCTATTGGCTTCCATTGATCCAGTTCTTGATGTGAAAGGGGAAACAGTTGAGAGCATTGTAGCAATCGCAGAGTTAGCGGGCCACTGCACAGCCAGAGAGCCCAATCAACGGCCTGATATGGGCCATGCTGTCAACGTACTGGCTCCACTAGTCGAGATCTGGAAACCATGGGATGACGATTCTGAAGAATACTCTGGTATTGATTATAGTCTCCCACTAAATCAGATGGTGAAGGGATGGCAAGAAGCCGAGGGCAAAGACATGAGTTATGCAGATCTTGAAGATAGCAAGGGTAGTATCCCAGCTAGGCCTACTGGGTTTGCGGAATCCTTTACCTCCGCTGATGGTAGATAGAGAAGGGTAATTGTTCATATATGTTCTGTATTTTGTAGATATAGTTTGTTGTTCTCCTTATTCTCTTTGTGATCTTCTCACATCACTTGTGTTCATATCATTTAATGTTGTATTTGGTTTTTGATGTTAAAGTTGATAAGTGTACAATAGATCTCCTGTTCGAGTTTTCCTTTTTACGCAAAATTTTTGCAGTCAGTATATTGTATGATGGATATGTAATGAATTTCAGCATGTATGATAAGGATTAAGAATGCCCTTCTCCTAAACATCTTTATGCTTTAGCTCAACATTCCAGGTGCCGAAAATCTGTATGTTGGGATAGAAGTTTACATAGCCATATCATCTTCCCGATCATTACCATCACTCTATTAGGATGTTTTGGGTAGTTCAAATTCAAGATGTAAAAAAAACAATTTCTTACATTCATTAGTCCATATGTACCCCATACAATTTTGGCTCAAGAAAATAGTCAAGTCCAACCATGGGGAAAGCTTGAAGGATTGATCTTGAGAAGGAAGGGTCCGACTATCGCAAATCCTGAAGTAAAAGGAGCTCCATGCCATCAAGTGGTCAAGCAAGGTTGTAGTCTCTTAGAGTTGTAGACAAATTGAAGATAATCCAAGAAAGTTTTGTACTCAAGGATGGAGATGATTTTTTTTATTCAATAATTTTGGTAGATTCCATGATTGATTAAAAGTTGTGATTCACAATAATTTGGGGTCAATAAAACTTTTGATTCAATAAGAAGATGAAGTTCATTGATTCAATAATTTAGTTGCATTAAAAAAAAATATATTTTTCATAAACAAAAGGCTAGGAAATTCTTATTGATCAGTCCGATTGACAAGCTATGTAAATCAGGGGGATAAATGGGTAATTTTATTTGTTTAATTAGGGATAATTTTATAAGTTTCATCCCTTTCTTCCTCCCTTCTCCATTCTTCCATTATAACAAGTCAACAACCCACCTTCTTCTTCCATGATATCTGTACTGCAGACCACCGCTACCACCACCTATGGTGGTTAAAATTGCTTCCACGAAGAAGAGGATTCCCCTAAGGGGTTGATATGGCCCTAATTTACACTTTTTTTCTACTAGGGTATCATTTTGTTACCGCCGCGAAGCGCCATTGGGGGCATTCCACCATTGTTGTTGAAGAAGACGACGAAGAGGAAGGCTGGTGGTGTTAGGGTTTCTCCTCTCGTCCTTTTCGGTGGTGGAACGGGGAAGCCTTCGTGGTTGATCGGCGGGAAGAAGTGTACCGTCGTGGTGATCGGGGGATCGGTGGTCGTCGGAGAGGTGGCTGACTAGCTGTAGATCTGGTTTTGGAGAGCTGATCGTGGCTCGTGGTAGATAGTTGTAGTGATTTTTTTTATTTATTCATTTTTTTTACAAATTTTGTCAATCAGACTGATTGATTGGGGCGCCTCCACAAAAGGCAGAGTTTTAGAAAAGAACTTTTAACTGATCTATTGTTTTAGATCAATTTGTTACAATAGCAACGTAATTACTAATATTATGAACAATTTCCATAGAAAATGCTAGAAGATTTCAAATTTCCTTATTTACACCCCTTTTATCATTATTCCCAATCTATTGTCCATGTTTGCAAATTAACAAATTGTTAATTTCCTTATTTACAGTCATATTCATACGCTAGTTGTGCAACTGATAAAAATGGCTACAAAAAACATTTGCATCTATTAACCGCTAGCGATTTTGTACGATTAAATAATACAAAAAAATTAGGTTAATTTATTTTGCTAACATAGACAGTAGATTAGAATAGCAATTTGTCATCTTTTAGCATTTTATTTTTATGGGAATCGCTCCAAGATAACCATAGTCCATAGCCACAATTGTTCATTAAATTCTACACTTTTCTACTTAATCCTGGCTCGCCCTATTTATTATGTTGTGTTACAGTGTTAGTCTTGCCACATATATATATTACTCAGATTTTCTTCATTCTTTTTTAGTTGACATACTTTGACTTTTAACACTTACAAAATATACTATAACTAGCTTTTGCGATTTATAGTTATAAATGATAAATACAAGTGTGACATTGTTAGAATCATCTCAATGTATATTTTCATGATCTCAACTTTCTATGATTTTTACTAGTTGATAATTAAAATTACTAATCATTGAACCTATGTGTTGTCAAACGTGATAAAGAAAACATATCAACTAAAATTGAGCCTAGGAAGCATTACATCTGTTAACCTTAAATTCAAATAGCAGAACCAGTGTATGCAGGCAATTTACTTCCCTTCCCCTCACATACTTTCACTTACAAATGGCTTGAAATCAATATACTCCGTAGCTTGTTCACAAATAGATTTGGCTTTGATACGTACAGTACATGTTATAGTCATGGATGTGCGCATGTTATAGTAAAACACCAGAATGATATAATTGCAAGAGTATGGAGATAATTTTCTATAAAATATACTTCGTATATTTATATGATCCGATAAACTAAGCAGAAATCAGCTTCGTATTTACCGGGTAAGAATTTCAGAAGGGCTCAATCATATTACAGGAAAGTTTACAGAACTAAAATTATTGAAAGAATCATCTGCATATAAGAAGACATGTATGCTCCACAATGTACATAAACAACCCAAGTCTAAACTATAGAGACAAGTTTAGCATATACCTAACAAAATTGTGTGAGTGACGACTAGCCCCAACATTGCTCCCGTCATCTGAATTGCAGCTTCGACAACTCTGGTAGCCTGGAGAAATAAATAATCGAATTTTGGTGATTTATCTGCCATTTTCACGATGATAATCCCTGTTAAAAGAAGAGAGCAAAGAATAAGCAAAATATTTCTCACAAACAAATTACTTCTATTATACTCTGAACTTAGCTACCTTAATGCGCCTAGATAACTAGATCTTCACCCTTGAATAAATCGAGTGGCAGTGACTTTTAAGTAGATCATCTAGGAGCTAGCTATTACTACGCAAATGACCATAAGAGCCTAAAGTCGAAACAATAATTTTTTTCATAAAATTCGAAATAAATACTTTGTACTAGTTTTGGAAGCATTTGTATTTTACACTTGCCATCATAACAATTTACTTAAAACGAAGCAGAGCATATGTGATCAGGTGGCCAACACTCAAAGCAGAAGAGATAAATGAAGCTTAGATGCCTAAGCTGGCTACATGAAGTTAAAGTGAGAAATTGAAATCTAAAAACAAGCCGCATGAAGAATGGGAAAATAGAGATACATGACCAAGACCAAACTGGGGCCAAATTACAAACTAGAGACTGAAGAGAAAAATTGAAACGAACACCCAATATTCTATGCCATAAGAATGGGATATTCATCAACAAAACATGTATTTCCTAACAAGATCACACATGACTATTTTTGTATATATCAGTAGAAAATGGCCATAATTCACGAAGTTTAACAAGAAAAGAGGCAAAGTACAACTAAAAAGAGGAAATCACGAATTTTTAAAAAGAAAAGAAGTATACATTTTTATTTTATATTTTAAAATCATCAATACAGAAATGACTCAATGTCTTAATTCAGTACACCTAATATAAAAAAAGTACGGATTATTATGACTATCAACCATTTTCAGAATACAGGTAATTACACAAAAAAAAAAATTCAAACATGAGGAATCAGTAAGCACAAAAATCAAGATTCAAGAACATTACAGCATTTGCAGAAATGAGGCTGGCAATCCAAAATATACAATCACGTGTAGTACTTCAGTTTCTCTCCAAAATGTTATTTTTCTTAATATAGTAATGGTGTTAAGATAAATTTTCCAGATATACCACTACTTAAAGTATGGGACACGGTGATGACAAAAGTGGCGCTCTCTATTAAAAAGATTCTCTTTGCCTTATCTTTGATAATGAAGAATTGAGGCGATGCAAAAATTAAATTCTGACTGAGAATTTGCCTTTTCCGATGTATATTTTTCCCCAGAAATAAAGTTGCAAAGATAATATCAGAGGTCACAAGCCACATAAAGTTATATGCTCATACCAATCTCTCAACACAGTTCTCTGTTTTTTTTGGCTTTCTTAAAAACATTTCGAGGGTGGGGGGAAGAGGGGGGTAGAAGATTATGCACTGAATATGATATACCAATACAATAAGAGAGAATGCCATTAATGAAGAGAGCAAAAGATTAAGCCCAATAAGATGAATATTATTACCACATAACACCGGGATAGAAGATCAAGTATGTTGTACTACTTGACTTGAAAGTGCATTTGATATCAGGATGTCATGCTGAACATCTCACTAATTTTTTTCTTCAACCTCTCTACAAGACTTTGTACCTGATGCTGCTGTTCAATGTTCATGCTGCTCATAATGGTGGACTGCTTCAAAGGAAAAGAACAGGGCAATTAACGTGTTGTGCCAAGAGTCAAATTAAACACTACGTAAAGTTCAAAAAGCCTCAGTTCCAGCTTTAATAGAAGCTTAAGCCTCAATTTTAAGATGAAAACTGATACTGTGGAGCACAATGTAACAAAGGAGTCCATGATTTCAAGAGATCAAATGCAAAAGCAATATTATTCTATCATTACCCCTGAATTCAGAAACAAAGGATCGCATTTCTCAAAAACAAAAGGATTTCAAGGGTTGTCCTAAAAAAAAAAAAGGAATTTCAAGAGATGAAAGTCATAACCAATGCACAAACCTGTAGTAAGAGTATGCTCTGAAAAATGTTATCAATTTCTGTCTGGCATGTAGAAAGAACTGTTCGCATTTTGCTATCCATGGACATCATTATAAAAATGGAAACAAGAGCTCTTATTTTTCTAGGATGATCTCGTGTAAGCTGAGTGTCTCTCAAGAAAAGTAATTCGCCAGATTCACCAACCAAAGACACCATTTTATCTAGTAGAAGTTTACAAAATGTGGAGCTTCTATCCAGCAGGAAAAAGCAAGGAAGGAGATAATCGTGCCATGCATAGAAGTTACTGGATGCCTTTTGCTCCTCCTCGGGTACCGGAAACAACTGCATAAAGACCATAAACTCTGGTGAGCCCTCATATAATGTTCAACAATCGACTAGTAACCATTGAAAACAGAAGTTCATAATACCAGAAAGAGAAAAAAAAAATAAAAAAATCATCATTATCAGGCAGATAGTGTTTTTGGACTAGGGAATTTCAAGGAAATCTAGAGGGAATTATTTTCAATTATACTACGTATAAGTATAGAACAGGGAGCGGGATAGAAAATAAAAAAGGATTCATTTTCCTTCTTTTAATAAACTATGTCTTTCTATTATTGTAAAGATCTGCAAGAATGTAAGATTTAAAAACTTGCCAAAAAGTATGTTCCAATGGCCTAAAAAGTATTTATGGCCTATATACACATATCATGCAGAAAAGAGCACATATAGAATCTGATCACCATTAGCAAACCAAAAAAAAAAAAGAATAGAGGAGATAAATGTAAATCAAGATGGAAGCTTGGAGATGTACTTATCTAGATGGAAGACATTCAAAGTGCAAAATAATATAATCAGAAAAACGAATGAGTTCAGACATGCAGCAGTGACAAAAAAGGCTTAATGAATTTTTACAATCATGGTCAATAGAAAAAAGAGGTATGCCATCAAAATGTGACAATTCCACAAGAGCAACTTTCACACAATTTTGAGAACATAAATGGAATTTTTTTTTTTTTTAAAAAAAAATAATCACTCAATACGATTTTGGATAGCAAGCCTAAAAAACAAAAAAAAAGGCACAAGTGTGTGCATATAGGCATGCCAATTGTGACAGAATAATGGTGAGGTTAAGGAGCAAGAGTGAAACAAAATAACACTTACAAGTGCAACATCAATCATGTAACTCAACATAATATCACCAAGTTTAATGATGCTTTCCTCTGAAAGTCTTGTCGGTCTGGAGTCCACAGTTATAAGCATTCCCATCAATGCACAAGTGTTATGAATAGGTAATTTCTGTGACTGAGGAAAAAAAAAAATACAGTCAAAATTCCCTGAGAAATTACACCAGTTGTATGGATGAATCAGCATATTCAAAATTGATATAGTTTGCATTGTCCACTAAAGAGTAGGATTAATATAAAAGACTGAGACCCGAGAGAAAAAGTAAACAACAATGAGAGCTACTCAAAAGGTGAAAAAAATTAGCCAACTCACTATATGGTCAAGAACAACATCCTCTAATATCTGAAAAAGCAGTGATGGATCTCCCATCTGACTTAGGAAACAGCAGACACGTCCAGCGACAGATCTAAAAGTTGCTAGATTAGCCTCCTTCAATATTGTGCTACAGGTTTTCTCTGCAATGACAAGGCAAAAAACAACAAACTATATTATATTGACTGAATAAGAAAAATAGATTGTCATACACGAGGAAAACGAGGACAAGAGTCACAAGACATCCTTAATATTCAATATATTCAATGAGAACAATAAATCAAACCCTGATGATGAATACCTTCTTTAGATAAGAAACATCACAATTAACAATTGCTACAAAATTCATTCCACATTTTTTCTTTCCATAGAGAGCCAATTCCATGGGTTCAAAACTACCCCACCCACCCCCAATGGGTACCTCAAATTCACCTCTTTGTTTGATGAAGGCCATGTAAATGTGCATCATTTTACTAGCAAGGGTCACACTAACAATCCTATCCACTGAAGGTACTATAAAGTCATCACCTTGAGGTTGCTTATTGTGTTCCATAGGGATGGAATTTTCAACTCTACCGTCTTGATCTTAAATTATTTAAACTGGATCAAAATTTTGAATTGAGTCAATGGCACCTGTAAATCTGTAATGAAATGGGTACATCACTTACCAGATATTTCATATTGTGAAAGTAAAGTGACCAAGAAACTGATGTAGTCAACAACATGGATGTGACCAGCGTTATAAGATGAATGTAGGACTTCTATGATCCGAAATAAGACAGAGGGCTCCAAGGAATGAGCTGAAATCAATAATAGAAATAAATTTTTTAAGTACAGCAGCCAAATAGGTAGAAAGGAAAGATTTAACTTCCCTCCCAAATATCAAGATTCATGGTTTAAGGCTCCACCGAAGACGACTACTCATGAATTAAGCTAAACTATTTCATCCAGACACTGTAGCAAGCAGCATAAATAGTCTCTTTTGACATGCTCCAATGAATCTTGATATTATACTTCCTCCGATCTTTTTTAATCGCAACGTTTGGAATTTTTAATTATTCACACACCCTTTTGATCGCCTATATTTTATTTATACATTTGGAAAAATAGTCATGTGAGATTTTGTTTGATGTATACTTTCAAAATATCAACTTTATACAATTCTTACTAAAACATAATTAAAGTTATTAATGGTAAAAGATATGCATTGCAAGTGTGAAATCCTCAACGTTGCAATTAACAAAGAACAGAGTAAGTACTGAACTTCAATGTATAATACCACATGCTACTACCAATTATGTTGTTTCAGGTGAACTTATATTTGACATCAGTTTTCTAGCATACAAGATAGAAATTGCTTACATAAGCAGCATAATGCCAGCGAGGCAAGTAATTGTCCTTTCAGACAAGAAAAGTAATAGAGACAGCAAATGGAAAGTTCTTGAGATTCTTTGGAAAGTTCCATAAAAGGGCCGTAACATATATGACCTGCAATACAAAAAGAATATGATTAAAGAACAGCACAATATGATGGAGGGAAGGGTTAATACCAAATATAAAAACAAACAGAAGAAAGCGGTGGAGCATATGCAAAAAAGATTGACAAGCAAGGAAAAGAGATGAATGTATATGAAACACATTTTTTTTAAAAAAAGGTATGAACAATGAAGAAGCCAAAAAGGAAAATAAAATCAGAAAACTATATAGTACACATTAAGATTATCACTCCTTTCACTATGGCTACACCACATCAATCCTAGAGATGTAATTAATCTCATCTTAATAGTAAAATTGCTGTGACCAACTTTAAACAAATTGAAAACTAAAAGGAGGTGTTTCCCTGCAACCTCCAATCATCCTGTTTATCATCAGAGCCAATTAGGGTATAGTATTAAATGAATGCTTTATTTTATGAATACCACTATCTTTAGTTACACAATTGAGCACACCAATGATTGGAGGATGAAACAGTCAAGTTAACAGATAATTAGATAATAATTAGTCTCAAGTATAAATGTAATTCCTCTCGCTCATCTTGTTATCCTATACATCACTATTGATGATGAAGATGACACCCGCAAAGAAAAGAGAAAAAGAGCTATTAATTCACCATTCTCTGATTTTATGCAGTAATACTTTTGCAATTCATCCTGTAGTTTGTCATATTCCACTGCAAGATCGCTGTTTGATAGTCCAATTTGTCCTAGGCGAAGCAAAAGATGCAACACTGCCTGTCAAATTGATGCAATGACATGTAGGGGAAATTAAGTCACTATAAAAGCCAAAAAGAAACAAAAAAATAATAACATGCCACAAAAAACTTGACAAGCCATTATTTGTGATAACTACAAAGGCTGTGCTCATACATGGAAGCTTGATGGCTTTTTATTGCTAATTGAATTCAGAAGCAGCCCAATCTCGTGTATCCAAGTCTTCTGACAGTCCAGTATTTCTTTATCACCGGCATCTGAAAATAGGATTTCTTGTTTCTGCAATTAGCAAAGGTGGCTTTAGCATGGTTATCACATAGTACATGGTAATCCAAAATCAACAGTTATCATCATGACACCTTAAGGTTAATAAAATTAATAAGATGACCAACTTCAAAATATTGCCTCATACAACCAAAGGGCGTGAGGGAGGAAAGGAAAGGAGAGAGAGAGATAGCAAAAGAAGGGAGGTGCCTGACGTTTATATATATATATATATATATATATATAGGGATGGCAATTTAATTCGAATTCGATCCAAGTCCGATCCGATCCGAAGAAAAAAGTTCGATCCAAATCCGAAAAAAGGAAAATCCGAGTCTAATTAAAAAAGTTCGAATCCGAATGGAGTCGGACCGGACTCGGATCTTGCTTGAGGTCCGATGGACCTGACCCGAATCCGAGTCCGACCCATTATATATGTAATACAATTATACGGAGTAGGTTTTATAGTGTAGTTTTTTGTGGGTCATTTAAGAGCCAAAAGCCCAAAACTCTTTAAATACTTTCGCCGCTTTCTTTTCCTCTCCTGCTCTAAAAAATCATCTTCTCCTCTACTCATCTTTCTCTCTCCTAAAAATTCAAATCTCCCATTTTATTAATCCCTCTATATTATTTCTATGATTCTATTTCATCAGACTATCTCTCTTATCTCATATCAAACAAAGAAACCATATTTGCTTCGTATTATGTGCATGTGTTGGTGCAAATCTGCAAGTCTCCTTCAAAAGTGTCTTATCAATTGTTCGTTTGCAATTATACATGAATGTAGAGTCTTCAATGATTTAGATTCATAAAAAAGTGAAAATTTTATATCATTAATTGTTCGGATTCGGGTCGGACCCGGAGGTTGCGGAAGATACCGGAGTCGGATTCGGAGTTCAGCTACTTGGAGTTGGATTCGGATTTTAGGTCCGATTGTGTGGCGGGTCGGAGTCGGATCCTACCCAGTCCGATCCGTTGCCATTTCATATATATATATATATATATATATATATATAAAAAAAAAAAAATATATATATATATATATATATATATATAATGAATACGTGACATATGGCGCCATTAACCGTTCATAAGAGGTCAAGGACTTTTTGAGAAGGATCCCCCTATAATTGGGATTGCTATGAGTTAATCAATAGTTTGACCCTTTTAAAGAAGAACGTTGATAGTTGGGACTGCTAGAGTCGATTTTCCTTATTTTAAAACTGAACCATGATGGCCAATTTTGTACGTGTGGAAGATATTGACCAACAAATATTTTCTGTTCAGTTTCCTTCAACAACGTCACTCCCCCCCCCCCAACCCCCCACGGGGTTTTTTCCCCCTTTTTATATCTTCATTCTCACCATGATCACATAAACTTAGTTTCCTTCAACTCCCTTCTCTCCCCAAGTTTCCTTCCCTTTTCTGTCTTCATTTTCACAATGATCACATAGCTAAGCAACTGATCCTTACTCTCTCTATCTCGTCTCTTCGATCTTCACTCTCACAGTTTTCACATAGTAAAGCAGCTGATGACAAAAGTAAGCTTTTCCATCTTCACTCTCACAGTCTTCACATAGTAAAGCAGCTGATGACAAATCTTTCTCTTTACTGAGCTTATTAGAATTATATATAAAAAAAAACCAGTTTCAGCAGTTTAAGACAGTAATTTATATTATCCTCAAGATACCAGGATGATAGTCCTCTCCACTTCCCTTCTGTTTGTAGAAGTTATTTTGTTAACAAATATAAAACCATATATGCAAGTTTATGATAGCTTACAAGAACAAGCATCTCTTCAACAGCTTCCAGGCAAGCCATTTTTAATGATGATTCAGGACTGCAATTCCCAAATGCTGTAGTAAAAGCCTGCAATTTATATTAAAAAAGTATACGTAAGTGGACAAAAACATTATAGCATCAGACAAGGTTAAATGAAACAAAAATCAATTAGAACACTGTATTATCCAGATATCAGGGATGTTGTCAAAAATCATCATGAGTCACAAAACCAATATATTTTTCAGCAGAGATAAAGAATATAGATTATCTTCTTATAGAGTTCAACAACCATAAAACTATACAAGACACTAAGACTATTAATAATCGTTAATTAGAAGTAACAGCTTGTACACGTGATTCACCATTGTGCAAAATCCAGATAAATATATCAGCTTATAGGTGATATCTTTTTTCCCTTACATGAGCAAGAATATAAATTTACAAGCAGAACCTACTCCCATTTATGTAGCTTGTAACTCTCCATTTTGGTCAATAAATGTTCTCTTTCCATTGAACATATTTATCCAGCTTTAAGCTAACAGGAAAAAGAGCATTGATCCTCTGTAGGTCCTATTTTTCCCCAGCTGAAGTCGGCCGGAGATACACAAAAAGAGAGACACAATAAAACACCTCTACACTTATTAAACCTTAACAGTCTCAAGTAAGAAAAAAAACTATGATTGGATAGAAAGTGGAGATGTCCTCCAGCCAACATTCAGTTGAGCAACATACTTCTTTATTGAATAAAACAAAGATAGAACAGCCCCGAGTGGTTAGCCAAAGACTTCTAAATGTAAGTGTTATTGCTGTTAATAGATCCTAGTCATAAACACAACTCTCAGACCTGAATGGCATTCAAATGGTCATCATAGAGTTCCGAATTCATAAGAACTGGTGCCACAAGCCCACATTCATCATCAACAAAAAATTATTTTCAGGAACTATACATTCGAAACCCAAACCACCCTTGACCTATCCCAGCTCACAAAATAACATCTGGTCTCTCCTAACCACAGTTCAGACAGAAAAAAATATCTCATCAACTCTACACAGAAAAACCACAACTATAGAATTCCAAACAACTTGAAGTAGATTATTCATTACCAATAAAGGGGAGTTTGGTTTGGGAATTTCATGGGAAAGGTAATAAACTATCTTAATTCCCTTAAAAAAAGTTTGTTTGTTCAGTTTTTTCATCCCCTTTACGCTTACAATTCCCCAATTTACTTCTACCATAATTCCCCCACCCCTCTTCACACACACACATACACACTCAGGAATAACTCTTACCCCTAAACCTTAAACATCCAACAACCTTTGATCAACATAAGAGTGATGGAGTTGGTGGAGCATTGGTGGAGAGAAGAGGAAGGGAGGTGAATAACTCACACAAACAGCACATTATATCAAAGGGTAATACTTTCCTTTCCCCTTGATCCCTTTCAATTTCATTCCCTATAAGCCATCCAAACCAAACATCCCCTTATTTCTAATTAGTTCAGAGTTACATGACCTACTTTTCTTTTAATGTCCCAGGTTTCCACCTTAATCAAGTCAACTAGTATTGCATTGTTATCAGCACTTATGTTCTGATTTCTTTTACAAGAATTACAAATTTCACATAAGGGACTATATAAGCACTTTTATTTTTATTTTTTATAAATGGCTTTACACTATAATAATTAAATCTGCCTTCCCTTGTTATTTCATCAAGATGGACCAGAAATCATTATGCAGAAACCAATCCTTGGTGCATTTTTTTTAAGAAAAAAAAATCTCGTACAATATGTCAATATAAAAAAAATAAAAAAATTATCGGAAAACATGGAAATATAAATTACATTGGAATCACAATCTCGACGATTCTGCAGACCACTGAAAATTCCAATACATCCAGAAGGTAATGATGTACTTCCTCTGTTTTCTTTTATTTGCAACACAACCTATAGGCACGCTTTTTTAGGAGTTGATTAAAGTAGGTAAACGAGCAACTTGATCAAATAATTTTAACACCAAGATTAGAGATGGCAGATGGGTTAGATATTACGTGTATAAATTATTTAGATTAATTTGTATGTTTACATTACTTTATCTCTTCCTCAAAGCGTGTGCCATAGTTTCTGAATTTATTAGATCACATCTTTTTACACAAGAAGATGCCTGCCAAGATCTACAAAGTCATTGCCATAAGTTTTGGAATTTAGTGGAATAAAATCAAGATATGAGTGAGGGAACAGACCTTTAGAAGGTGATGATCTTGGTCATCTACAGTTGATACAAGGTATGGAATAAAAGGAACCAGAGAAGGCAGTTGCTTGTCATAAAATGCTTTATCAGAAACGTTACTTCTATACAACTGCAAGTTGAAACCAAAAACATATTACATAGTAGATAAAGAAGAGAAATATATAGCAATACTCACACTATCAATTTTCCAAGGATGATAGGCCCAAAATAATATGAATAATAGAGATACAATTGCCAGAAGAAAAGGTCTACGAAGTGACTAATGGGTCGATGACTGCAAATCCACAAGAGAATTAAACTCGTTGAATAAGTTGGCAGTAATGACAATAAGGGCGTCATACGTCATCAAAGCAGCTAATGTCCATTTTGCAACGGAATAATTAGGGGAAGGCCAGTGAAGAAAAGTTATTTCAAGAGCCGGAATTTAACTTGAACTCGAAAATATACTTCTGGCAGATAACAAAAGTCAATTGTGTTAGATTCTCATTACAGTTTACCAGACTCATCATCACATGATTTCTACAACTATGATATTCTACAGAGAAAAATAAAATCCATCAGTTATAATTATCAATTGTTTTCTGTACATGCCACATCCATTATCCCATGCAGATTGTTGATTCATGTAATAAGATCTGCCAGAAGACTCAGTATCATACTCAGGGTGTTTATTTTAATTTCCTACAAAAATTAGTTCTTTTTTTTACATATATATAAGAAAATTATTAATTAACACAGCAAAATAAGAAAAGACAACAAAAGGACACAGTCTTGCAAAGAATTACTTAATGATTTTACAAAATAAGGAAACGCCAGCAGCCTTAGCCCATAAATATACGCTAGCAAAGTTAGTTTATCCCACAGTAAAATTGTGTTCTCTTCCCCTACAATAAACTACTTTAATTAAAAAATTTACAGGTATTAATCTTATGAGGTAAAACATTTCTGGTCTAGCCTGATTTGATGGAAATATTTGAAGGACACACCCAAGCTCAAAGATGTTATATTTTCATTCCCCAAATGCCCCTGTCCAGCTTACCTTTAAGGCCTCAAAGTCAGTTCACTACCCCCACATGCGGAATCTGTAGCCAGTCTTATATATTATTTATTGAGTTCAACTAATATGTAACAAGAGAAACAAACCTCAAAAAGCCAGTCTTTTAAGAAGCTCAAGAACCTTTCGCACAAAACAGGAAGCGGGGAGATGTATTGGTTGAAAGTAAAGAATATTCGGGATATTACAGCATTTAATATGTAATATCTGCGATCATAGTGATCATCCTGTCAACCAAAAACAAAAAGGCGAATCAAATAACCACCACAACCATTTATAAATCCAACAGCTAGCATGATTAAACAAGTTGCACAGGTAACAATTATTTTCCATAGGACAACAGAGGCCATACATATAAGACATTTGCATACAGTGGCGGATCCAAGATTTATAACTAGGGGTAGCACTACGCATTAGATCAGATAACTTGTTAAAAAAAACCGTAACATAAAGTCATAATAAACTATTTAGATTGTCGAATTATACAACAACCAACCGAACGAATTGGGTTAACTTTTATATAATGTGTTGTCTTGACGTATACCCCTTCCCTATTTTTTTGAAGTGCATGCACAATTTTGACCTTTATACTATTCACATATACCACTTTGACTTGTTAAAACAAAACCCCACATTGACTAATATTAGTGCTTTAATTTATCCATAAGTTATATTCTAGTTATCAATAATATACCATAATCAAATTAAAAAGTACTCCCTTAAATGTTCCATGAATTATATGTATTAGTATTATCTATCAACCGGTCAAAGTTTAATACTATGGGAAGCGTTGAATATAAGAAAAAAAACTCACATGCGATTTTTTTTTAGTATATACATTTCAATGTAAATTTTCATAAATATTGTTACTTATATAAAACTAAATAATTTAATGATCAAATATAAGCTTTTGAGAACAAGATATGCATGAAATGGGAAGAATTACTATGAATAGAGAGAATATTGTAGATTAGAAAGCTATTTCTACATAGTAATTCATTAGAAAATGGGAAACTTTTAAAAAAAAAAAAAAAAAAAAAAAAAAAAAAAACTAAACTAGATTTGTAGCCTTGAGGTCTCGAACCTCTGACCTGCACAGGCATATATCAATTTTAACCACATTTCCGCACCACCAGGGCAACGCACATTATACTAAATCTACAAACAAGGAATAATATATGTACAAAATCACTGCTTTAGCATTTTTGAACATTTTGCCTTTTTTTTTTTTTTGCCCCTTGAGGGGTAGCACGTGCTACCCCTTGCTCCAACGTAGGTCCGCCAGTGTATGCTTATAAGACATTTTTCTTTAAATCTTTCAGGGGAGAACACAAGCAGAAAAGCAACTCAAACTTTTATAGGATATTATCTTCATGCATAATTCTATGTTCAGAGGAACACAATTGAGAAACCATGAAAAGCAAGCAACAATATCATGCAATGAAAGTACAAAAAGCAAGCTCATTGAAAGAATATACATACAAGACACTGTTCTTAGCAATGTCACCTTCACCAAATTAGATTATAAGAGAGATGAGATGGAATTTATGTCTCACCTTACACAGCTAATAGTAGATGCACAACTAAATTATTATGGGAATGAATCATGGGCCCAAAAGTGCATTTCTTCATTTTATGTTTTCTTTCGCATTCATAATAGTTGTAGCAAATGATATTCTCACTCTAGGTATTTAGTTTGGTAATAGTAGTTTCTAGCTTTCCAAGTTTGTTTTAGCATATATATACAGCCTAATCCCTATGTTATTCCTCAGTTGTGTTATCTGACTTGAGAATTAATTGAGTTTTGTGGAAGTTCACCCAATCACCATGAAAACGAGGCTGGTCAGATTCTCCACTTTAGAGCAGATAAGACGGGTTTGAATCCCATGCTTAACACTTAGTCACTTGAGCAAAAGCACTTGGAGAAGAAATTATCTAACCAGAAAACTAAGGAATTTAAAAATTTCTTGATTTTAAAGCAGCCCCGACTGAATTTCAAAGCCAAAAAGCACTAAAACCGTCCAAAAGTGAATTTTTTCACAATACTTTTACCTTAATCTCAATAGGTTCTAGTTTCTAGATTATTACGCAAGATTCCTAGCAAGCAATTAAAATTGGAGCTATCCTACTTTCATCATCAGAATATCTTTGGAAATGATGAGGATGCTACTCCACCAGCCTATTCCGAAAACAAAATATTCAGGATATCATGCAGACATCACAACAGAACATGTTTTGTGAAAGTCATAAGGATCACAAAAAGTATGTAATCACTTATAAAAAAAGTGAATACCTCCTCAGAAAGAGCACGAGTTGGTTGCATGGGGAAAACAGCAAACAACTTATCCAACAGAAGTAAAGGGAACTTTTCATCCTGTGCATGGATCTCTGTGCTTGAAATAGAGGACATAGAAGTACGTAGATCTTGTTGATACTTGCTGATTCCATACACCTTGTACCGGACAATTAGATCTATGCTATGAAGTATAGATTGCATGCAGTCAAAAGAATGTGAATCAAGTTGAGGTTGAGAGTAGGCTTCTGACATTAAGCCATAGAAGCAGTTGACAAGAACTGGAACAAGATCCTTCAATTTGCCAACGATCAAAATATGGCCTACATTGAAGACATGACAAATAAAATTTCTTTTTTCAAAATCATTATTTTAAGAACACACCACTTTCTGACAGAGGTTCAAGAAACTAAATTGCCAACATGGTGGAACACATAAGCTCATCTTGCAGTGGGATGGCAAGATTCAAATTCAACCACAAGGCCAAGCTGAGAACAGTATCACATCATGTCATTAATTCTATCTATTAGCTTCTTTTTGAAATCTTTTCCTCAAAATCCTATCCATAGCCAGCATGTGGACATAATCTATATATTATTATTAAAGTAATAACCGTGGGGGACACTTTAAGTAATTGTGTGAATATTTTCCCTCCAAAACCACATGACATATAGTAAATGAAAACTTATCCTCTTTTTTAACTATAAATCATTTTTTGAAAACAATAGAAAAGACATTTTCTTATAAACAACATCTAGGCTCATATAAGAAGAAGAGAAGCATTTTAGACCCTAAACACCAGTTGAAATATATATTCAATACAGTTAAGCATTCTCCCTAAACACCAGTTCTCTCTCTCTCTCTCTCACACAAACTAGTTAAGCGTTCTCCCTAAACACCAATTGAGTCTGTTAAGCGTTATATATATTCAATACACTAGTTAAGCGTTCTGCCTAAACACCAGTTCTTATTCAGTACACTGGTTAAGCGTTCTCCCTAAACACCAATTGAATCTGTTAAGTGTTATATATATTCAATATACTAGTTAAGCGTTCTCCCTAAACACCAGTTCTCTCTCTCTCTCAATATGTTAAGTGATATATATTCAATATACTAGTTAAGCATTCTCCCTAAACACCAGCTCTCTCTCTCTCTCTCTCTCTCTCTAATGATATCATATTTTCTCTCACAGCTTACAAGGTGGTGCTTTATCAGGTGGTACAGGACCGTCACTTTGTGGGTAGTCAAAGAGTCAATAAGTGACAAAGATAGACAATATTAAGCACAAAAGGCAGATTATATAAAAGGCATGAAAAAAATTTTCTAGTAAAACTTCCTTGTCACATTTACATTCTTGTAGGTAGGATATAAAAGCTGCGACTAGAAGACCTAGTCATATATATCCAAATAGGCAAAAAGTAGCTCAACTTGCTGAAGCAGATGAAAACTAAACCAAAGATTCTAATGAACTAAATGCTTTGCAAAAACAGAAAAGAGAAGCTCGTCATAAATTGCTTCATCAAAATCCAACAGGCGATATTTTGACAGTAAGCCCAAAATTTTAATGGTGTAAGCACTATGATCCAGGGATTGGAGGAAAATTTTAAACGACAAGCTTTATTTTCCTATAAGAAATAGAGAAGTACCAAAGAAATGAAGAACTAACGGAAACCTTTAAGAAATATAACCACAAGGGACAAAAACAGTAAATGTAACAGCAATTTTAGGGCTTAAATTATTGTAATGAAAGATTTTCTTCGTAAGACCTTAGAGAAACAATATAAAAGTAATAATATTTTGTTTAAGAGTAAGCAGAAATCTCATCAGTGAAGCAGTACCAATAAGGGCAACACAGTATACAAAACAAACAGAATTGTCATGAAAATCTGTGTTAAAAATATTTGAGTATGTCACCTAAGTCAAGAAAACACTGTCATTCTTTAAGTTATCATTAAACACTGAGCATTGAGCAATTGCCTCCAAATGCAGAAAAGATATAGAAATTGAAAATTACTGATTATCACGCGAGGCATACAAAATTTTATGATCACAAACAAGAAAGCTTTTACAGCACAGGTAAGCACTGTTTTTCAATCATCTTTATTCATAATAACAGTTAAATAATTTATACTTATATCTTGAGCAAAAAAAAAAAAAAAGGAAAAATCAAAGCATAGTATTGAGAATCATTGCATACCAGTAGAATCATTAGGCACGTCTCTCTCAAAAGCATGCAGCACTTCTTTTTCAGCATTTGTCTGCATCATCATAAATTATTTGAAAACTGATTATCTAAAGACAGATACATGGTAAGAGTTCAGATTTGAAGTTAAAAAGGCTGACAGAAAATAGCAGTAGAAGGTGCAATTATATGGCCAAATATGATAAGTGTTTCATGCAAATAACAAATAAGTTCAGGAACGTATTCATATCAATCTAAAGTCCAACGTTCATCGATGGGACATGCCTCATCTAAGATACTACATCCTCATTCAAACCCACAGCACTATAATGACACCGCTCTAAATTTTGCAATCACAGCTTCAATCAGAATTAGCCACAAGTCAAGTCTCATCCCCCAATAATATATATCATCCAGAAACAACAAACACCATGGTATCTCGTCATGTGTAGAGCCCTATAAGTTGTGTAGAATCATATCATTGGTAGAAAAGGCTTTTCCGTATTCCTTGTGTCAACTGAGGATACAGCACCAGTATCAATTCTTGGCTAAAGCACATTAATGCCTGCCATTCAAAGATTATCTTTCATCTGTACTTATTTGCCTTATATAAAAGAGAAATCTACTTTAAGTAAACAGGTGCTTGAACAAGGTCACATGCACACTTCATCTTTTAGGGGGGTTTGTGCTCTCTGTTTGGAAGTCTGCATTACTAAGTTGAAGTCCTTAGTGCAATTTTTCTGGTAACCATTACGAAAGTCAGCATTACAAAATTGAGACAGTATGAACAATTTTTTTTAAAACAATGAGTTTGAAGACCATGGATTAACTGACTAGGGTTACAAATTAACTGGGATAAGTGAATCTTTGGACTAGCTCATGGCTTCATTACTTTTGTTCCTCTTGTCTCTTAGGCCCTTATATACAAAATATAATGGCTGCATTGCAAAAAGATACAAGTGAAAGATACTGTATATCTGGTTTGTCCGACTGCATACAACGTCAGTGTCAAAGATTTCATTAATTTAATGGCTTAAGAACCAATACGGAAAAAGAAAAAAAAAAAAAAAAAAAAAAAGAAGAAGAAGTTGAATCGCAAGCTCATTTTCTGTAAACAAAAGCTTTCCTAAGACCTTGGTAGAATTGAAAGCCATACAAAGACCTAGTAAGATCTAAATTTTATTGATTTAAGCAAACTAGGGAAGTACAACATCAATGTATAAATTAGAACACAATTCTCATGAGCTCTAAAGGTCAAATTTTTGACTGAGTTAAATAAGAACTGTTTTCAGAGGTCAATAACTCCAAACATTAAGAATACTCTTCATGTGATTTTACTGAATTCAAAGATACTCTTCATGTGATTTTCAAACAATTACTTGGGGGGGGGGGGGGGGGGGGACAGCAGTTCATTATTTTTTGTCCAGGTTGCTAACAAAAAAAGGCAAACTTTAAATTTAAATCAGAATAAAAAACAATATTGGCAAGAAATAAATAAAATAAAAAATAACCAACTCTTTCTTATAAAAAGACCAAAGGTTAGATGTTCGAAACATTAATAATAAAAAGGATGGCACCTGTCCAGAAGAATGAAATTCTTTTCCATTTGATGGCAACATCGACAAGCAGCGCACCAGGGAAGAAAGAACAAACTTGAGTTTGCTTTTCTCCTCCGAAAGAAATTGGTTCTTCTGTAGTAGATCTGTATAATTTTCCAGAGCCTGCAGTCAATCAGGAGAGCAGAACATACAAAGGGAAAAAAAATCAAAGACCACACCGGGATGAGAAAGAATGGGGAGGGAGATGAGGAAGAGTAGAGTTAGAGAGAGAGAGAGAGATGTATTATTGTATTTCTCATGGAAAAATATAATACAACAAATTACCTAATGGAATAAAGTAAAATAAAACCAGTCATGGTAAATCTCTGGTTGCAGGATTTCATTATGACATTACAATCATAGGCTTATATGACTCCTACAGGCTACAGTACTATGAGTTGATAGCTAGGTTCATTTGGTTCTGTCTTTTCAACACTTCAATCAAGGAGAGCAATGGCAATTTTCTTTTCTTGACTATTTTTGAAGATAAAAAAGAGATGCCAAGGGGATACCATCCCGTCCACCCACGTATAAATAACACAAAAGGAGGGCTAAGAGCAAAATGATGCATGCCTTCAAGCTATCATGAGGCAACTCATCTAACATGATCAGAAAACCTCAAGTATCAGTAAGAGCATCAAACTTTACTCCAAGAGTAAAATAGCCTCAAAAATAACAAAAATAGGAAAAATTATAAAAATAATCTCACCTACACTTGTCTTCTTATTTAAATCCAAATTATAGTTTAATCTAGAATCATCCCATTTATGTTGGTAGCCTTTTCAAAACAGTCTCCCTTTTGTGTTAACCTATTAAACAGGGTTAAAAGGTTGGTGTGTCAATTTTTAATTGACTTTGCTTATATTTATATTTTTTTCTAATTAATTTTTTTCCTTTCATGCATTTTACCCACAGTTAAAAAAAATAAAATACAAAAAATCCTTCCCTAATTTTCCAACATTGTATGGAGGAGCAACTATCCACGATAGCCGCCCCCATCACTTGCCACTTGAACCACCACCATCGACAGCCAACCATCACCGGGGTCACCTTCACAAACTTTCCACAAAAAACAACATTCCCTCAAAATCACAACAGCTACTACCGCCTTGAAGCTGCGTAATTCGCACATCCTCCTCCATCAAAAGACACCGGCACTACGCTCACCTTTATTAACTAAGAGAGCTAATTCAATAAGCTAATCAACCAATTGAGAGTCCCAAATTCATTAATAATGCCATAGTTTTCACTGTCGACTTTACCAAGCAACCTTTCCCTCACCCTCCCTAGCCTCCCTTTCTTTCTATGCCTCTATCTTCTTTAATTTTCGCTGCACTTCCACCCAACACCAACACACTTAGCTGTCCGACTAGGGCGAGGTAGTGGAGTTGGTCTAGTGGTACAGTGGTCTTGAGGGAGTGGTGAGCAATGTTGCGGTGGTCTAGGGCCTGGGTCCAAGTCGGATGGGGATAGGAGCTAGACAAGGTAATGAAAAGGAAAGAGCTAGTGTTCAATAGAAAAAAAAAATGCAATAATAATTTACCAGTCTTAGAAGTAGTAGGTCATTTTGGATGTTTTGAGAAAGATTCTCTCATAGTTGGGGTTAATTTGAGTTAATGTATAGTTCGGACTAAAATGAGAAGAACCCTAATAGTTGGGATTTTTCTTGTTTATTATTCCTAAAAGATTATTCAAACTTTGATGAGGAGAAGTTCTACCATAAACAGTATGGGTTCCATTCTTTCCAAGTGTACGAACTTGACATGGAGAGCACTGGCAAACTAACCAGATGTCTCAAGTTCCTACTGCCTACTGATAATTCAAAGGAGCGGAGACATGTTTGATTTAGAGGTTTAGAAAAGGAATTTGTGATCCTTGTTTCCTTTAGTGTGTGTTGTTTGAGTTTTTCTCATTCCCCATTTCCAATTTCACACTAACAGATATTAAAATCACTACTCTAACTGCATTGCAAAGGGAAGTAGTAAAAAAATAAATAAAAATAAATAAATAAACCTGACCATGAGAGCAATAGGAGGAAAAAGATAGCTCTATTCAACATTTTAACAAAAGAGTGCAATTAGATAAAATCTTCAAGTATGTCACCATTTCTCTCCAATCACAATGCCAGCAAAGCAAAGTAAAGCAAAGCAAAGCATAAGGTTCAATTGGTTTCTTGGGACTTCACACAAATCACGATTCCACTCATAAACTCCATCATTGATAAAAACTTTGCAGGAACTAAGGAAACAAGGTTGGCAAAACCCATAATAAAGGCCACAAATACTTCTAATCGGGCACACACTACAGTGCACACCTAGATCTAGGTGTACCCAAAGCTACTATATCTTGTTCATTTTGGACTTTCTTCGTTGTTCATTTGGAAGCAAATAAGTAGAAATAAAGCCTTGGGTGCACCTGTACCCATAAACACCTAAGAATTCCAATTCATAACAGTCAACAATAAAGAAACTGAAACACAAGCAAAAGGCTCATCACATTATACCTTTTCAGCATACGTGGAAAAGGCTGGAGGATGAGTCTGAACCACAAGATCAAAGAATTTGAAAGCCATAAAGCGAACATCAATTGCTAAATTTGTCATTGCTTTAAATAAATACGCCATAATAAGAGATATAGGAGCCCCCTTTATGTCCTTCAAAAGATAAAAAGAAGTAACATATAGATGAGAACAATATCACAAATAAAGTAAAACAAACAAATTGAACATGATCAATCCAAATGGTGAAAAAATAAAGCAAGACTGAGTTGAACAACCCTATGCAGATGTAGCCATAGATTACATTGCCAATTAGATAAGTAATAGCAACTACAATAACGTACAGCACAATAGCCCATTTAATAGAGTTTGCCATGCTTTATGAAATGGTTGAATCCATGGTGCCCGTAATACAGAGGACATGAAGAGCATTAATCTTATTGAGATACCGAAACCAAGAAGTGAAATTCCAAGCTTATAAAACTTTTATAGGATAACTACCCATTGCATATAATATATATGAACCAATCATTACCTATTAGACCTTTCTCTTTGTTCAGTATATACGCTACAATAATCATGAGTCATTTAGCTTTCGTACTCTTTATATGCGAGTAGGTGTTATATGACTAAAGGCAAAAAGAAGCTTTGAATTTCACCACCACATCAATCATGGAAAATAAATTTAAAAGAGAAAAGTAGAGCTAAAAAGGCTTGGAAGAGTTTTACAAGTACAATTTTCTTCGAAAAGATATTTCAAAAGTACTAAAGTACTACCCATACTAGACATGCAATTTGCATATAATGAAACAATAAAAAAAGATCTACAAAAAGATATTATGTCACACAATATTCTTGACTCGGACTTTTAGAATCAGCAAAATAAATTATCAAGTTCCATCATAGCTTTACCAAACTGTAAAGAAAAAAAAAAAAAAAAAGTTTAAATACTAAAACCACCAATCATCTAGGGAAGACAAGATATGAAGCTACACAACAAAATTTACCTCCTTGCATCCTGGAAGGATAGTAGACTTAAATAGTTGAAATAGAGTTTCACGAACTACTTTATCGTCATCACTGATACGTTCACGCAATTTCTCAATAACAGCATTCTTGTGCAATTTCAGCTCCGCTGGGAATTTAAGCAATAAGTCCTTGATACCTACCAACGCATCTGCATACACATAAAGATAAGTTATTTCTGCGTTAAAGAGATGTATTATATCACCAATTGAGTAAAGGCTTTCAAGTCGACACAGACCTCTACGAACTTTGACATTATGATGAGATGTTTGTTGCAACAGCTCCTTTAATGTCAGGCCTTTCTTGCTCACAGCAACACCCTCTTTATCCAATGCCACACTTTGCTCCGGAAGAATTATAGCTGCCCAAACACCAGAACATAAAGAAACCATTAATCAATAACAACCAGCCATCGGATCATGGGAATCAACACATAAATTGAAAAAAAAAAATTAATAATATTTGAAAACAAAGTGACATGAATTACTGATCCATTAGAACATTCGAAGTACTTAATAATCCCTTCATTCCATTTTGTTCTTCCTGTTAGCAAACTTCAAAAGGTATATCTTAAATTACGTGGTTGTAAGATTTAAAAAGTTAATATTTAGAAAATACACGTTGGGACAAATCTATCAAGATCTCACGTGATTAATTGTCACAATTTGGCTCTGTATTTGTGACAACCCATTCAATGAAAGAACAAATAGAAAGAAAGGGAATATAAGCTAAATAACTACCTTAACGTTTATCACCCAATGTGAATGCGAACCAGCTACTAAGGCCTTATACAATTAAGCATTTATTCGCTCAAAAAACAAAAGAAACTCAGCATGAAAGCAGTTTAACACTTCCACATACACATACCCCTGCAAAAATGATGGTGGAAGCATATGCTCACTATGCATACGTTGAACATCAATCCTAACTTCAAAGTGCATGAAGACTAACTCCAATGAACATAATAGTCTCTAGTTATTCTTAAAAAAATAAAATAAAAATAAACTCTAGTTATATGAAGTAGCTCTTATGAACATAAACTCCAATGAGCATAACATCATCTTAGTTATACGAAGTAGCTCTTATGTTCATTGAAGATTTGGAGTTAGTCCTCATGTTCTTTGAAGTGCTTGATGTTTAACGATGCATAGTGAGCACTATGCATACGCCTCCACCATCCAATTAACATACATCAAACATTGCAACTTTAATCAAAAAATTCCAATTTCTAACGTCATCAGTACAAACAATACTTGAAAGGTTCATTTTTGAACATAACACTGACAAAATACGATAATTAAAAATTCAATTTTTATCACCTCAATTCAAAAATTCAAACATAATAAACATTGCAAACTTAGACAAGAATTATAATGATACCTTTGGTTTTAATTTCAGTATTGGTAACATTATGAGCCGGCGGCAACTTCCTGCCCAATTTCTTCTTAAATTTCTGAAAAACAAAAACAAAAAATATCAAATTAATCACAAATTCATCAAAACTCAACAAAATACACTTCCGCAATAAGATGAATTCATACCTTGAAATCAATACCACGAGGTTGCGGTTTCTTGGAAGGTGTTTTTGAGCGACCCATGCTACCTTAACTACAAATTTACTACTTTAATTGTTGTTATTGAGGGTTTAATCAGGTTTTAGGGCTGTTTTAGGAGAGAGAAAGTATTGTCGATAAATTGAAGTAGTGACGGCTGAAAGACGAGTCGAAAAGTCGGCGGCGATAGAGGCTTACGGTGGCGCCGGCGGCGGAGACTGAGAATAACAAAAATGCAGGGCGGGAGTAGTAGTTGACAAGAGGAAATAGTTTTCTCATTCATAGAGACTATTTTAGACCTAGGTAATTTAATTACCGTCCGCGTAACCACTTAGCTATCCCTCGCTTTCAACTTATACAAGGCAAATTAAAGCAAAACACCTTAGACTCCATCAAAAGAAAGGATTTTTTCTCTAGAAAGTAGGGTTTTGTTGTCGATGAGTCGATTTTTGATAATTTGCGCGTCTCTTTTTTTACAATGACGGATGAGATTCTTGAACGTTATGCAAACTTGAGATTGGATGATGATGACGGAGGTATAGTAGACAGTAGAATCAAAGGGCCCAAATGAAAATTTTCACGTAATATTGATAGGCAAATCGACAACAAAGTGTCCGTATGATATAGAAGACGTTCAAGAACGCCATGACAAAGATATGGATGCTTACGAAAAAACTAGTGATTAGGGCTCTCATACCTAATCTTTTTTGCTTTTCAATATTATGATTGGAGGGATAAGGATATAAATTTAGTGAGGTGGCCATGGTGTTTTGATATTAAATTAATAATTTTAAAAGAAATCAAAGGAAATGAACAACCTGAGAAAGTTGCGCTTTATCATTCTCCACTAGTAGAAAAAATGAAATAGGCACCCCCCCAAGAACCGGTGCCAAAAGAAATGGGCGGGATTTAAAAATTCGATTTTGGCACTGGTTCGCCTTAAACCAGTGCCAACTATGGTAAAAAGCACTGGTTCAAACCGGTGCGAATTAAAAAAGACAAAAAAAAAGTAGAAAGGTATGCGTTACTCTGCTTCTACTTCTTTCTTTGTTTCCCCTTGCTTTTCATTTTCGGTTTTCCCTAACTCTCGTTTTCGCCCTTCTCTTAGCTTCGACCACCTCTGAAGTTCCACCTTTCTCCAAATCTCTACTCCATTACGCGTGCTCGTAGTTCTCCATTGAAGCGCATTATGAGCTTTGTCCATATCAATCCTCCACTACGCGTACTGTTAATTCTCCATTGAAGCGGATTCGAGCTTTCTCACCTCCATTGAAGCAGCTTCGAGGTAAGAATGTGTTTTTGTCCTTTTTAGATTATCGATTTCAGTTTCACAATCTAGGGTTTGTTGTTGATTTGAAATTCGAATTTAGGGTTAGTTCTTGTAAACTAGGGTCAGGGAAAGGGGTGGAGGTTTCGGGTGGGGAAAGGGATGGGAGTTTAGGGTGGTTTTGGGTTAGGGAATTCAAGTTTTAGGCGGTTTTGTTGGTGGGGCTGGGGCGGGAAGTCTATTGCGCTCATGTGGCTCTGGAAGGAGGGTGGTTTCGGTGGTGGTGCAGGGGGAGGGGTGGGGGTGGCTGTCGGGGCTGGGCTGGGGAGTGGCTGTCGGGCTGGGTGGGGAATTGTTTAATTAATTTTTTTGATTTTAGGGTTTTTGAATTTTAATTAGATAATTGAATTTATTTTAGTTTTTGGGGTTTCATTGTTGTGTTATCGAAGTTAATATGTTGATTTTAAGGATTTTTCAATTCAAATCAAATGAGTAAGCAATTTAATTTTTAGTTTGAATTTAAATTTTATTTATTTGTAATTTTATGTAAATGAGATTGGATGAAATCAGTTTTTTAGTGGTAATTCGATGAAATTAGGATGAAATCAGTTTTGGGAGTTGATGTTCGAGTTGTTATTGTTGGGGTATTGTTTACTTGTTCTTGTTAGAATTGGTGTTCGAATGTTGTATACTTGTTGTTTGAATTGGTGTACGGGTGGGGATGTTGTTTACTTGTTATTCGAATTGGTGTTGGGTTGTTGTTTACTTGTTCGAATTGGTTTTGAGGTGTTGTTGGATTGTTGTTGTTCGAATTGTTGTTTGATTTGGTCTTGGTATTGTTGTTGTACTTGGATTGAATTGAATTGTTTGAGTTGGATTGAACTGAATTGAATTGTTTGAGTTGGATTAATTTGATAAAAATGGTACTACTTTTGGATTGTATTAGTGTGGGTTGGTCTCTAAAAATAGTAGTAGATGTCATTGCAATATTTTCTTATCAACAAATAGGAGTTGATGTTGATGCGTGGGTGGCTATGTGCATAGATACATGGCAAAGTATGGAACAGTGATACCAAATTGGCTAGTATGAGATTGGATATGTGTATTCTATTCACTACTGAGTATTGTCAATTTAGGCATAATGTACCACATTCATGTTTAAATGTTCCTTTCTCAATTCGAGGGTGGGGGTAAGGAATCAGGTAATGTATATGCCTGGGTTTGAAGGAACATAAAGTAGAATTGTTCATTGTTATTTGGCCAATATATCTCGTAGTTTGTATAGAATGGTTTCTGTTAAAGGGGGTTTACGTTCTGATTTTAAAGTTTGTATGGAGCTTGTAAGAAATAAATTAGAAGATGAGTTTCCTTTCATTTATTTTGGGATTTATTTTAACAGGAGAACGTGCCTGCTTTTGCATGCTTTTTTTATCACAAGAAAGTGGTTGATGGATTAAACTATTGATGTATATTTGGCCAGCATAGTCTGAATTATTTTTGGAAAGAGAACACACAAATGTTGAGATGTGTAAGTTGTGTGCAGGTAAAGGCACTTATGAAGGATCATTTAAATGGAAAATCAGGAGGATCAAGTGAAAAGTCGTCTGAGCCTAGTGCATCAGTTGAACTGAACTCACGTAACTTTGATGATTTAGTGCTGAGTACAGAAAGGAGAGCATTGCTTTACAGAAAGGAGTCATCTTGAAAGCTATTCTTATTGTTTATGTGGTGATTAATGATTTTTTTGTCAGTGGAACCCTTAGTTTTCCATTAAACATTTACGCGTTTGTAATATGCATCTCCATTTTAGTAACATGGATAATGTGGTGTTTATACTAATTTTGGTTCTTGCCTGTTTTCGTTGTCAACCATCTGCTGTAGTTTGTTTGTGTTGCAAAAAGGTTATTTCTTTACCAATGACTCTATGAGAGGGATACACTCTTCTACAGTCTTAATTGTGTGATTAATCTTTTTTTTTTTTTTTTTTTTTTTTTTTGCCGTGCTTCCACTTCATTGATTTAATTTGTTGTTTAGACTGTTTTCAATTTTCATTAAGAGTGCTTTGACCTGTTGTCCTACTTAGACTGTACATCAGATGTAAGTTGCTTTGTTTATGCTTTCTAATCTTAATTATGGAGTACTTTGTATATCTTAGTTAGTCTTTTGTAAGTATCATGGAGTAGCTTCTTGCCTTCTACTTTGATGGCCTTATGTTTTTCTGTAGTATTCCCTCTTTAGCTGATTCGTCGTCCATTTGAGACGATCTCAGTAATCTAAAGTGGCTTATAAAGTGGGTTTGAACCGGTGCCTATTTACCTTTTTCGCCTAGTGCTCCCTTTTGGATCAAAATAAAGCACCAATCGTTTTATTGTAGGTCAAACGATGACGTTTGGGAATTGGTGTCCAGTTGGGGAATTGGTGTCTCTTGTGGGGCTACCCATTAGTTTGAGGGTCGTGAAGTTGACAAAGATGAGGGTGATAGTGAGGATGGAGATTTGGGAACTAAAGTGGGTAGTGTACGTATGTTCCTAGTATAGTGTCCAATGATTTGAATGTTGATGAGTGTCATTTATGGCACTCATAAGCTAGTTTTCTTCGTAGTTTTTATACTCGTGTTTAGCCTCTTATGTCGTGTTTTTATGAGATAATGTTTGTTTTGCGTGCTTGTGTGTTATTTAGAGAAATGCATATTTCTAATGGCTATATTATCCTTTTTATGCATTTCTTTGCTATTCTCTCGCTTTTCGTTTTGTTTGGCTTGTTTTGTAGGTGTGTCGGGACTTTCCGAGGCTCAAATGTCAAGGAGGAAGCCCAACATAAGCTTTGGAAGTCAACAAAACCAAGTCCGGGAAGCTAGAGTGTGAGCAAGCTAGGCTAGAAGTCATAATAATGTTGCTTGAGCAAGTTGCATGGGCAGGAGTTTATGCGTGCCCAAGCATTGAAGAAGAATTCAAGAGCTTAGTGTCTGTATTGGCAGTGGCGGGTCCAGGATTTTCAACTTGGGGGGACAAAATACTTAACTTACAAAAAGCTTAACAAAAAAAAAACAAAAAAAAAAACTCAAACACACAAATTGGTTAACACTTAATATTAAAATTTCAAAATAAAAAACATACTTAGTCATACAATTCAAAATGATGAAAAATATTACATAAACATTAGATTAAAATTGCACTTTCATTCTTCGAGTCTTCATATTTTGGCAGCGATCAACAATTTTTTCATCGGAAACTCCTAAGAAGACATCCTTCTAAATAAAAGTGACCAAACAATCATTCATAAGTTGATCACCCATGCTATTTCGCAACTTATTTTTGACACATGTCATTGCGGAAAACACTCTTTCAACACTTGTCGTGGCAACTGGAAGAATCAACATCAACTTGATAAGAAAATGAATAAGAGGAAAGTCTTATGCTTATTAAAGAGAATTAAGGTCATTTAAACCTTGAAATCTTTCATCATTTAGCATATTCTCCATGAATTTATCAAGTTGACATTCAAGAGTCATCAAATCAAATCTTGAAAATTCTTCGGGATAAAAAGAGGCAAGTTTAAGTACCTTATCTTTTATCAAAGGATGAGAAGTTATCTTTAGGACTTAAACAAGCCATACATATTAGTATCTCCATATTCCTCTCATTAAATCGATCATCAAGTTCTTGAAGAAGCAAATCAATCACTCTTGAAAAAATTCCAACCCGAAAATGATGTTGATTTGTTGCTTCTTCAACAAAACATCTTGATCTTCCTTGAGGAACATAAGGAGAATCCATAGTGGCAACAACAATACCATGTTTAGCACAAAAGGAAGTTACCTGGTTTAAGAGAGTATCCCATCCTTGCTCCCTCATTTTTTGCAACACCATTTTTGTGTAAGTGACAAGTTCCATGGCATTTACAATATCTTGCTCCTTTCTTTGCAAAGCAACACACAAATCATTAGTGTATCCAAAAATAGTCAACATCAAGTGAAATAAAAATAAAGTCAAATGACTATAATTGTCCTAAAACAATTTGAGCTTTGAACTTATCTTCCGATACACCATGCTTCCCAATGTGTACAATTACCTTCACAATTGTAGGAAATAAGAGGATGATGTTTGAAAGAGACTTGTAATGAGAACTCCAACGAGTATCCCCGGGCCTTTTCAAACCAAGTTCTTGATTTAAACCCGATCCACTCACATTATCCCCTACATCCAATGCTCGAGGAACTTCTTGAGCTTGATCTTGTCGAATCATTTCTCTTCTCTTGCAAAAAACTCCAACCACATTCAATAAATTTGCAAGTATCTCAAAAATCCAACCACAACTATCATTCTTTTTAGCAACGACAACTAGTGTTAGTTGAAGTTGATGAGCAAAACAATGTATGTAGTAGGCACTTGGAGTATAATTCATAATCAAAGTCTTAAGACCATTTATTTCACCTTTCATGTTGCTAGCTCCATCGTACCCTTGCCCTCTTATCATAGATGGACTCAATGAATGTTTAACAAGTAAAGACATGATTGCATCTTTAAGAGTTAAAGCGGTAGTATTACCAACATGAACAATGCCAAAAAATCGCTCCATTACCTTTCCACTATCTCTATTAACAAAGCGCAAAACAAGAGATAGTTGTTCTTTTTGGGACACATCACTTGACTCATCGGCTAATATGGCAAAGTAATCATCACCAACTTCTTCTATTGTGCACCTAGTTGTTTCTTTGGCACAACAATTAATAATGTCCTTTTGAATAGAAGGGGCAATCATTTGACAATTTTTAGGTGCATTTTCAAGAGTATGTTGTCTTTCTTCCTCAACCTTTTCTCCTAACCATTTCAAAAGCTCAAGGAAATTACCCCTATTATATGACTCATCGCTTTCATCATGTCCACGAAATGCCAAACCTTGCCCCAAAAGAAATCTTAAACAAGTTAAAGATGCATTCAAGCGAATAAAATATTCACTTTTAATCACCTCACTTGCATTGTTAAATATTAACCAAAATGGTTGCGTGGCAAAAGTATTTACGAAACTAAGTTTATAGGCTAAAACGCTGTCTCGGACAGTGTTTTATGCCTGGTTTTTGTAAGAAAAAAAATTAAACTTAAAAACGCTGTCTGAGACAGCGTTTTTAGTTGTTGACTTTTTTATTGAAATTTTCTTAAATTCTGAGTTTTTAATAAATTGGGAACAAAAAAGAAAATTACCTAAAACGCTGTTTGAGGCAGCGTTTTAGTCTTTAATAAAAACGCTGCATGAGACAGCGTTTCTAGTGATTTTTTGGTTTAAATGAAACGCTGTCTGAGACAGCGTTTCTATGGTTTTTGTTTTCGTGCGTCGCAGGCTACAATTCATTCTCATCACTCTCACTCTCACTCTATCTCGCTGCCGCCACCACAGTTAACCACCGGGCTGCCACCACTGCTGCCGCCACCACTGAGTTGCTGCTGCCCCTCTCCACTCAATTTCGTGGTAAACCCTAAATTCAAATAGTGTAATGTTGATAATTGTTGAATTGTTCAAATTGTATCAAATTGTTCAAATTGCTGCTTTGTTCAAACTAGTGTAATGTTGATAATTGATGCCCCTCTTAATTGTTCAAATTGTATCAAATTGTTGCTAATAATTAATGAAAATGTTTTAAACTGTTGATAATTTTTTTATGGTAATGTGGTACATTGTTGATGAAATTGTTCATGAAATTGTTGAAATTGTTGATGGTAATGTGGTACATATATGTGAAATAGTTGAAATTATTGATGGTAATATGTGAAATATAATTGTTGATAATTTTAGATTATTGGTGAGAAGACGGTTATTTCATTATTGATAATTTATCTACCATTTCATATTAGTTTATTGTTTAAAATATTAGTTTGTTAGTAATCGTTTTGCATTGCAACTTAAACTAAGAGTTTATAAATGGAGCCATTGCGTAGTTTGTGGGCAACTTTTTTTACCTCGCTCTAGATTTCAATTATCCTAATATGTGTTTTGGCTATGTAGAATATGACTGGACAAAATGTAGTGTTGTTATGCCGGTGGGGAGGTGAAATTTTGTGTGATGGATCAAATGTTGAGTATAGTGGAGGAAATATGGAACCAGTAACACTTGAACCAAACATGACACACTAGTAGAAAAAATTAAATAGGCACCCCCCTATAGCACTGGTTCTTAAAAACCGGTGCTAAATAAAACGGGCGGAGCCAAAAAATTAAGAGTTGGCACCGGTTCTAACCCAAACCGGTGCCAAGCATGCAATTAGCACCGGTTCAAACCGGTGCCAACTTGTAAAATAAAAAAAAAGGATGGGGAAGGAGTTGGCACCGGTTCTCCTTAAACCGGTGGCAAATAAGCAAGTTAGCACCGGTTCAAACCGGTGGCATTTAAAAAAAAAAACGCGGGTTTGCTCGGTTTGCTGCTTCAACCTGTTCAATTCAACGACACTTTCTTCATTTCTCATTTTTGCTTCAAAAATTCCCAGAAATTTTCGCCCTATTCTCTTCTCCCTCCACCTCCATTGAAAGGCTGTGCGAGCTTTCTCCTCTCCATTGAAGCAGTTAAGCTAAGAGACCTTACTCACATTGCTACTTCAATTTTCCGCATTTCCTCTTCCCAAACTCTTCCTCCATTGAAGCTTCGGCCTCCTCACGCACGTAGCGTGGCTGGGCTTTGTTCTGCCTCCTCACGCACGCACGCACTTAGTTCTTTTTTTCTGCCTCCCTCCATGCATTATTGAAGCAGCTTCGACCTAGGTAAGTAATAACGCTCCTCCATTCATTTAGCTTCTCCATGTATTGCATTAACACCATTGTTGTGGTTTTATGAGGAATTGGTCTTTAGTTTAATATTTGTAAGTTTCTTGTAATTTTTAGGGCTTGGCAATTGCTACTTAATTACTCCATTAAACGTGCAAGGCTCCCCCTCCATTAAATGCACAAGGCTGCCCCTCCACAAATGTAAGTCCTTTGTAGTTGTTATTGTTGCTGTTTATAAGATGAGAATTCTATTTAGTACAACCTGCATTTATCTATAATTCTAAATTGTTATGAGAACTTTATTTATCATCACTAATAAAGTTGAGAATTTTATTTTGTTTATAGGATAATTTAGTACTTTTTATTTAAGAGAACAAATTTGAGAGGAAGCTAATAATAGTAGTTCATTTATATTAGTAGCTCATCAAATTCTACTAAAAAGCGTATCAAATGAGATAAGTAAGCATTAGATATTGAGTAAAGTATATAAGAGTAAAGCATTTATAGGTTTAGGGTTTAGGGTATAGGGTTTAGGGTTTAGGGTTTAGGGTTTATGTAACTTATGAGTTTAAGCGTCGAACATTTTGCTTCCTTCATTTAACTTCCCTTGAATATACTTTTCTTTACGAGTTGGTTCTCACTATGTTTCAGGCTAAGAAATGGGTGTTAAGGGCTTCTAGGGTAAGATCATCAGTTTGGAGAGTGGGTGGAAAGCATCCTGGTATCTTACTCTGACTGTCCTTGTTCTTGCTCACTAATATCATTCTTATCTTTTCCCTTAATCTGGTTTTCTATTTGTGTTCTATATAGGTTATACTGAAAAAGATTCAGAGGAATTTTTGGGCGAAGCATTGACCTTGGCATTGACCTTCTATTTGAGAGTGTTGAGACTTTATAGGTACTTAGGTATATATATAACTTTATGTGCTATATATAAGTTCTTGTTTGCACACTTTTGTGGAGATGGTGTATGATATAACTTTAGTGCAACTTCTATCATGATGTGTGATTAATCCATTGTTTTTTTAATTGATTGCATGTACCATCATATGCCTAGATACCCGTTCAAGGCTTTCTCATTAGGAGAAAGTCTTGAATAGTCCCCGGTTGGGACTGTTCTTGAACGTTTACTCTCACTTAGGCGGTGAATGTATGTCCTTTTTTCGATTTTAAGGAACATCTTGGCTTACCATTTCCTCGATCACCATGTTCTCTAGGTACATATGTGGGTAAGTAATTACCTACGTCGTGTACTTGGAGAACTGGGGGAAATGCTGCCGGATTTTCCTTAAAATTGGAAAGTCGACATACATTCACTAGTGAGAGTAAACGTTCAAGGATGGGTTAGGTTGGAGTGATAAGGGCCCTTTGGAAGCATATATGCATTTTTGTATCTATATGAATGCTATATGCATGTTGTGTGTTTGAATTTGATTTACATATATAATAGATAGTAGCAATTATATATGATTCGTAATATGTTGCCCTGTTTAGAGACAATTTACTTAATGGAGAAGGATCGTGGCTGGATGTATGGTAGACGTGATATATTGAAGTTCTTTAATGGGGTTCAAGAGTTTTGCGCGAGGGCTTCATCTTATCAGCGCATAATGGGTTTCGATTGCCTCTATTGTCCTTGTGTTGATTGTAATAATGTGAAGGTGGTCAATAGTGTTGATATCATTAGAGATCATGTAGTTTGTTGTGGGTTTAGGCTTAAATACCATGTGTGGATTTGGCACGGTGAAGAAGGAGGGTACAGTGGGGATGTTATTGGGAATGATGTGCATGATGATAGAAACAATGACATTTGTGTGGACGAGGAATACAAGAATGATGAACATATTGTTGATACTGGTGCTGAGGATGGATTTGAGGATGATCATGTGGATGAGGTCGAGGATGAAGGGGTGGATGAGATGATGCGTGGTTTTGAAGGTGACGTGTTTGAGTCATTATCGGAGGCTTCTAAAAAGCCTTTGTATCCTGGGTGCAAAAAATACTCTAAACTATCCGTCGTGCTAACACTTTTTAACATTAAGTCGAACCATGGGTGGGCGGACAATAGTTTTACTTATGTGTTGAGCGTGTTAAGTGAGATGTTACCCGACGGGAATGAAATTCCTAAGTCTTACTATTACGCTAAGAAGCTCATGTGTCCATTTGGTTTGGAGTATAAGAAGATACATTCATGTCCTAATGATTGTATTCTTTATCTAAATGAATATGAAATATTGGAGGAGTGTCCACGATGTAAGAAGTCGCGCTACAAGTGCATGAGTTGCAATGCTGGTAAGCAGGGACCGCCTGCTAAGGTGTTGTGGTATCTTCCCATTATTCCAAGGTTTAAGCGTCTATTCTCAACACCAACAGACGCTAAAAACTTGAGGTGGCATGCAGAGGGAAGAAAGAATAACATAATGCTGAAGCATCCAGCCGACTCCCCGTAATGGAAGAACCTTAATATCAAGTTTGGAGAATTTGGTGATGAAGTTAGAAATTTAAGGCTTGGTTTGTGCACGGATGGGATGAATCCATTTGGCACTCTTAGTACCCAGCATAGCACATGGCCGGTACTGTTAGTGATCTACAATTTTCCTCCTTGGTTGTGCATGAAACAGAAATACGTAATGCTTTCTCTATTGATATCGGGGCCAAGGCAACCTGGAAACGACATAGATGTTTATCTTGCGCCTCTTGTTGATGATTTGAGAAAGATGTGGGACGAAGGGGTTTTTGTTTTTGATGCTCATAAGAATGAGATGTTCACATTGCGTGCAACTCTTATGTGGACCGTTAATGATTTTCCTGCGTATGGCAACTTGTCCGGGTATAAGAACAAAGGGAAAAAAGCATGCCCCATTTGTATTGATGATACGCCAAGCAGGCGCCTTGATCATTCTCACAAAGAGGTGTACTTGCGTACCCGAAGGTTGCTCAGGCGCGATCACCCATACCGTAGGCAGAAAAAGGCTTTCGATGGGACAGTGGAAGAGGGGACTGCTCCTAGGCCGTTGACTGGTGAGGAGGTTTACGCTCGAGTAAAGGGTGTATGAACAGTCTTTGGGAAATCAGAAAAAAGCGGCGGAGTCAACTACTCTCTTTAAAAAAGAATCAATCTTTTGGTTGCTCCCGTACTGGAAAGAACATGACGTTAGGCACTGTCTTGATGTAATGCATATAGAGAAGAATGTGTGTGATGCTCTTGTGGGAACGCTGATGAATA